ACATTGATGTCAAGTGCTGGAAGCTGTGTATACGGAGCACCAGTCTGACCGGACATAGAAGTCATTAGAATTAAAAGCGTGCTGAAATCGATTCGCTGGATCGATGCTTTGTGTTTGTGCAAGCGGTCGTCAACGGCAATGTTCCACCACTAAAACCAACGGTCGTGTATCAGCCGGAGGATCAGTGTCCATCGAAGAAGTCTACGTTCGAAGAAGCCGACGGGGAGGCGGGATATGCTGTCCTGCTTCACGATGTGACCGACTTCGAGGCGAGTTCTTGGTGGATAATATTGTAGTGGATGAACTTCATCATCAACTACCAACGCAAGCAGAGGGGTGCGCCGATAGTAACTACGCAACATTTGATCGAAGCGGTATCAGCAAAAGAACCACTTTGCCAGGACGAACTTCAGCTGGCCAACACCATTCTGTGGAACAGGTTTTTCGCACGAAATGAGAGCAGCGATCAACCAACGAACGAAATGAAAGAAAAGCAAAAAGCCGCCGAAAAAGGGTGACTTGGTGTTCGATGACGGGAAAAGTTGGAAATGTTGGAGACGAGATATTATGGAAGTGGTGAACAAGGAATTGGATGGACGAATACGACAGGCAGATATGAGAACTGCTAATGGCAAAGTACATTTGAGAATCTAGCGTTGTTGTAGATTCAGTAAATCCAGACATTCCAAAAGTACCTGAGGTTACGGACTGGGGTGTTGCAACATCGTAGAAGCATTCCTCGTAACATCAAGGAAAAAATGAGTAGAATTTCAAGAGAATTCTGAGAAACAATCCCGTGGAATACTGATTGTGAATTCCAAGGTAATTGTTTGACAATACTTTAGAAATTTTCGGGTGACTTAAAGCGCAGGAGAATCCTGGGGATATTTCCTAGATAATTGTAATAATAATTTTAAGACAATTCTAAGGTAAACTTTAATGGAATGCTAAGGAGAATTCCAAGGTAAGGAATGGAGAAGTCTTCTAGATTCTGTGACATGAAAAGTTCTCAATGTTCTAAAGCTCACAAAGTTAATCAAACTGACGGATATAGGACCACATACTTTTGAGATATCGAAGTTAACCAATACTCAAGTATCAGAGGCTTATTTATGTTTTGTTCTGGTGATACCCTGTCACAGTCTTAGAATTTCGATTCTAACTGGTATCATTTAGAGAAAAAAAAGTCAAATTGTCAATCGCCAACACAAATTTATGAAACTCTCGGACATTGCTAATTTGTTTAGCCCTCAGACATAATTTTTGGTGTCTTCTACTAAGGATAATTTAAGAATTCCGAGCTTGGAGAAACATTCAAAATGCCGGTTTTTTATTAATAGAATTCGATTAATAAAGGCAAACCGAACCAATTTCAAGGTTCAAATCTAGTTCCCGCTTATTTCCCGATTCTTCCAGGTTGTCTTCGATTCCCAGTTGATTCCCGGGTCTCCCAGTTTTCCCGGATCAGTGACCACCCTGCTTTTGCTGTACCTGATCTAGATACACTACATAAATTAATGATCGAAGAAAACTACTTTCATCAAAATTAAGCAAAATCGGACTGAACAATTTAATCTTTTGTTTTTGCATTTTTCCTTTATTGGTACTTTATAAAATTTAAGCTGAACTGCCAAATCTGTCAACATATATTCTTTTTCAGTAAGTCGTACGACTTTCCTCAAGAACCATTCAAAAGCTCATTGAAATTAGTTTGGGTTCGTTTAAGGTTCTTAGATCCACCGAATAATCCACTACGGTCCCTTGTTCACAGTTGGATGGGCTTGTGGAAACTTCTAGAATTATACACTGTGTTCGTTGGAATTGCCCTGGAGATGGATTAAATAGATTCCGTCCTGTGATAAAACTATTTCTACATGCTACAGAGTAAAATGTGAAATTTATACAATCGCACACACGTGCGATAAATCACGTGCAGCTCTAGTGTCCCCCACCACCGCCAACGTCAGGAAACTCTAAACTCACGAAAAACACCACCTACCTATCTAATCCCATTCCGTTCAAAACAGTTTCCACCTATCATCCAAGTGAAAAGCGATTGACAAATCGGACCACACCGCCGCAGCCGTACTGTAGCAGCTAAAGCGGTCAACGCATTAACCTTTCAAAGTCAAGAGTCACATGAAAGCTGAAACAGTTAGGGCTGACTATCCAACTGTCGGTTCGTCACGGGGCACCGCCTCTGTGTATTGTTAGTCGTTACAAAATTTCACTCTCCTTCGGGTTTCAAAAATCGAACTGATCGCGTTCCTTCGCGCTTGCTGGCTGGTGTGGGATGTGCCGACCCTGATGATGACTGCCTTCGGCAATCGTCAGCAGTCTATTTCAAGCGAATTCATTCATAAAATTTACTCGAAAAATAACTTGCAAGGTTCACACCTCGCTCAGTCGTACGTGCCATAGGTATAGGTAGGTATGTTACACTCGGCTTAGACTAGACCCGTTTCCCGTACGTGATCGATTGAATTTATGAATGAGTCGTTTTGCATTGCATCAGAACATCGAGGTGCATTCGACGACGACGACGACATACCGGCGGCGTTGCTTTCGGCATTCGGCAAGTTTGCAACGACGTCAGCGGTCGAGATTTTGGTCGAGGGCAAATACCTACTCGAATCTAGGACGTGGTTTTTTTTTGTAGCGAGCAATGCATACTAGCAGCTGCACTATCGAACGAATGCATACCTCCGGTGGTCTTGCCGATGAGTGGCCTTGCGAACTGGATTTTCTTGGCAGGATTTCTTCTGAACAGGCAAATGAATGAGATGCTTGCTCGGTTAATGAATCGGGGAAACGAGTCTGGAATAATGCCAAATTCTGGCGATGCATGGGGCAAATGTTCTGCAGATTCCGTGATGCTCAACTTGACTTTTCCACCAGCGCAAAGAACCGTAATCAAAACTGCTATCCGAAACCCGCAACGAAAATGACTTTTCTTTTGAGGAGAGAGATGAGCTTAAAAGAAAATCAACCTAGCCGAACCACTCCTGCTCCATTCCTATGCTTCGACTGTTCTATTTTGGCAACCAAGCTGACCGTATCTACCGAACGTCGATAGGTAGCAACGGTGGTCAAGAGATATGTTATTGTGTTCTATTTTTAGCCGCATGATTACAGAGGAAACGATCTTGCGCGATCATCGGAACGCACCTCACCACCGAAGAAGATTAGGAAATTGCTTTTTTTTTTCTCTATATATATATACCTACAATGTATTTTTTGGCCGCTTCAACACTAGGAAATATGGCTACATAGAGCGTCTATAACTCGTAGGATCATCGAAACAAACCAGCAACGCTATATATGTATATGTGTGGAAGTAATATACATGAACTCATCGATGCTGCTGATGATCATGATTGAGCGATCGGTTATCTACGATGACTGATCGAACTCTTATATTTGCCAGTGCACGGTTTATTTGTTCTAGGGAGCGGAGTATAGCAGCAGTTCCCAACCTCTCTTGTTGGTTGCAACCCACTTTGAGATATTCCATTTTAACTCTTCGAACAGACACTTTTTTTCAAAATCATGTAGCTCGGATGATATTTATCAGTTTTCTAATGTTTTTATACCGTTGCACAGTGGCAGCCTTAAGTATGCACCTTTAGAATTGATGAAACGATCCATTCAAATGATAAATATTCCTTAGAAAACACCCCGGTTATGAAAAATTTAGCCACACAACTATAAAAATGTACCACTCTATTTCTAAAGAAGGAGCATTGAAATTGCACGAATTACCCATTAACATATTGCAAATGATCCATAAAACGTTCAACAATGAACCAGAAACTGAAGAAATTGATCCATAGAAAATTAAGTTTGCGCACTAAAAAATATCGCAATGATCCATAAAATACATATACTTTTCATGTTTTGGACATTATTTATTAAATTTTGAACGATAAATCTTAGAAAATTGCTCCATTACTGCGTAGCTTCTCAGATTTACTGTCCTGCCCGTGTTATTTTTTATTCAGAGGAACGGAGTGACGGGCAAGAGTCTAGAATAATCTACTAATCTAAACTTCTATAAAAAGCTTCTAATGTTTCTAGACAAACATTTGAAAAGGCCGGAATTCCAAAATCACCATATCGAGAAAATCGCTTCTGAATTTTGATGACCTAAATAATAATCCTATTTCACAACTTTCGCATTTTTCTGGGTAAGTTTATTAGCTTGACATATCTAGACCAACAATTGAAATAGGCGAAAGAACCTAAATGTAAACAATGGCTTTAAACACAAAATTCTCGAGAATCAAAAATTCCCAAGTAAACTAACAATGCCATTCGATAAAGAAAGTTTGCTCTATCAGATGATGGGGTTAGATTGCTTGGATGTGCTTTGATTCACGAGAAATTTGCGTTTAAAGCCATTGTCTACGATTGGTTGTACCGCCTATTTGAATTGTTGGTCTAGATATAATTAATAGTGTAAAGACTGGAACGCTCAAAAATTGGTCGACAAAAAAATCGTTTCTTTCAGTCAAAATTCATATCACAAAAATCTTATTACTTTATTTTATTTTTTGTAGTTCAATTCATATATTTAAAGAAAAACATGTTCGTTTATTCTTTTGGTTTACCAAATCCAAACTGCCGTGCCTTCCGCTTAACCCCTTGCATTAAATTTTGCACGATCTTATTCGCCGCCGAACGCCAGTTAGATTTAAACTGCTGCTCGTTTTCCATGGATTTATTAGTTTTTTTGAAATTCCGTTTGACCAAGGCCCAATGTTGTTCGATAGGGTGGAGTTCTGGGCTATTGGGAGCGTTGTGGTCTTTGGGTACCACAACCACGTTGTTCGCATCGTATCACTCGATTGCCTTTTTTGGTATTTTTTCGGAAACTTCTATAGTTTGATGGTTTTGAAAATTTCAGCCACCTTCCCTTTTCCTGATGCGGTATAAAACTCCTGTCCCGGAAGCTACTTGAAATCCGCCTTCACATAAGTTTCGTCGTCCATGACGACACAGTTGAACTTTGTGAGCAGATTTGTATACAGCTTTCGGAACCGTTGCTTTGCCGACGTGTTTTGTTTGTAATCTCGGTTCACCTTCTTAAACGTTGACAACCCGGCTCGTTTCTTGGCCCGCTGCACAGTAGCATGGGAGACATTGAGCTTTCCAGCGACGTCCCGGATGGAGAGGTTAGAATTCCGCTTATATTTCACCGCCACCTTCTTCGTCGTCGCTGCCACGTCCGGATTACGATTGCCACAGCTTCCAGGCTTCCTGGCGATCGACAGACGCTCCCCCGAACACTTTTAAAACGTTTGTCACGGTCGATCTGGCCACATCCAGCAATTTTGCCATCTGGTCAATTCATGAAACTGATCCTAGAGCACCGCGGTTTTTTTTTTCTAAACCACTCATACACTTCCTATCAGAATGAATTCGGTGTTGTGACCAAAAAATTGACGCTGGGGACCACTGAATGGTCCACTAGAAGATCAGGAACATCCGTAGAAGTGGTCAATTCATGAACCTGATCTTAGAATTCCATGTTTTTTTTTCAAAACCTCTCATAGACTTCTTATCAGAATGAATTTAGAGTTTTGTTCGGAATATGGACTCTGGAGGCTACGGGATGGTCCACTGGAAGATCTGAAACATCCTTAAAAGTGGCAATTCATGAAACCGATCCTAGAACTCCACGGTTTTGTCGAAACCACTCCTAGACGTCGTATCCGAATGAATTCTAAGTTGTGTTCGGAATATGAACTCTGGGAACTACATGATGGTCCTCCGGAAGATCCGGAGCATCCGTAAACGTGGATAATTCATGAGGCTGATCCTAGAGTTCCACGGTTTTCGAAACCACTCAAAGACGTCTTTTCGAAATTATTTCGGAGTTGTGATCGGATTATGGACCCATGGGTTCATGGAATGGACCTCTAAAAGATCCGGAACATCCGTAAAAGTGGTCAATTAAGCCAAGAAGTACAAAGCGCAAGTGCTCATGCTACAAAATTTGGGGCGAGTAATTTTGACGTAGGATTACGTCTGTGATTTCTATATGGGGGTACACTTTGTGAAATCCGAAAATGGAACATGTAACAAAATTTTGAAAGATTTTGAACGTTAATAACTCAGCTGCCTCTGGACCAATTTCAATAATTTTATCACCTATCGATCAGAAATATTTTTACGCATGTGCTTAGTTTAAGATTTTATCATTTTTCAAAATGTGCAACTGTTGCTATGATAATTAAAATTATCACCGATTGCCTGCGAAAAGCGATTCAACCGCTGATCGTATTCAGTTCCAATCACCGTGTGTGGTGGTGTCCGGTCATCAGCATCAACAGCAGTGCCTTCGGCGCGTGGCGTTGAACATTGTTCTCCAGTACACAACGAAAGTCTGCCTGTAAGCAGCGAGCTGCAGCCCACATAAACATCCATAGAAAGAGGAAGAAGTCGCACCGCTATTAATCGGAATCAGTAGCTCCTCGTGAGTCGCTGTGGGCCATCTATGCCAAGCGCGTCACCCTCATTCCAAACAACATACAGCTCACCAGCCTCATCTGTGTTTAACACCCTAATAGCTCAGCATTACTCAACCATCACGACAAAACGGTCCTTTACAGGTCCACCATAAATTTGTAAAGACTATTTTTTTGGACATTTGTCAAGGTCATCAATCGGATATCAATTCCCATATCAAGATAGAGCTGGAATTAGAGCGTAACATCTTTTGTAAAGAATTACTTCTTTCGATGATGTCTTGAAAGTCAAGGCTAGCCCACGCAAATCAACATCACCATCAGGTGGGGTAAGACTTCCCCTAACCGACGGTAATGTTGATTTGCGTGGGCGTGCCTTGAATTCCTAAAAATCATCGAGAGAAGTCATTGTTTACAAAAACTTTTACGTCTAATCCCAGCTCTATCTACATATGTTTAAATCTAACAAACCATGTACTTTAAGGCAACATTGGAGGTGTAATTTCAAAATCCAAAGTCGGTCGCGGCCACTTTCACGTCTGATTTTGAGCCAGAGATGATGGATTTTAATTTTTGATAAGACAATCGATAGGCAATTTTTCTACAAATCTGTTAAAATTAAGACTATAATTTTTCAAAATGTCTCTATTGAAAATTGCACGAATGTGCAACTGTTGCTATGATAATTAAAATTATCATCGATTGCATGTGAAAATCGATTTCCCTAACACAGATTTCAAAGTTGAATTCCATCCGGTCTCAACAAACGGTGTTTATTCAATCACCGCGTGGTTTTTTTTATGAATTGATTTATTTGTACAGGCTCAATCACCGCGTGGTGAGTGGTGGTGTTCTCCAGTACACAACGAAAGGCTGCCTGCAAGCAGCGAGCTGCTGCTTGCATGAGCATCTATAGAAGGAGGAAGCAGCCGCACCCCTATTGATCGGAATCAGTAGCTCTTCGTGAATCGCTGTGGGCCATCTATGTCAAGTGCGTCCTAAAGAGTATAAACAGAGAGAACCCCGCTCAAATTTATATTCCTACACAAAACACAAGTTCCTGCTGCAGTTAACAAATAAGATTTATTATATAAGACCACGTAGTCCTACGTCACCATTGCGTACAACCCCTTAGGGCTGTTAATCACTATTTCACATTGAAAACAATGTTTAGACATCAACGACTAAAATAGGCACAATTGCGTCAATATAGGGATTCAACTGTCAAGACCTTTCAAAATATCTGGTCCGAATTTTTCACATGTTTGTGCTTCTGTATTTGTTTTTCTTTTTTCTTGATTTGTTTTCCGTCCTTAGTATCAATGCTACCGACGCCAGGGAGGCAGCTCCCACACCAAGGCCCTACCTATCGACCAATCAATTCATGGATCGGGGACCAACGGCTTTACATCCATTTCTGAAGGAAGGCGTTAGAGATTTTATGACTCAGAATCCCGACGGCACCGACTCAGGCCCTGTGGAATGAGAGACAGTCACGCTGTGGCAGATGCCACTGTGCTTGGTGTTGAAATTGATAATTTTCTTGAAGATCGGTTTTTTCGGCAATATAGGAGTCAACCTAGAGAGTTTCGCTTGGAGTTTAGTACGATTTTACACAGAAAGTTTTCAAGAATCGCCAATGACGAAGAAAGGTCTGCTAAATCTGGAAAATTTTGAAACTGATTAGAAACCCAACCCAATGGAATCCCATGAATATACCATAAAGGAATTCGAATAGAGCAAGAAGCAGCTTTCAACATCACAGAATTGGTAGTAGTAAAATTTACGTTTATTTGCTGGGTTTTTATGTTTCAACATTTGATTTAACATTTCAATTGGTTAGCCTTTGGCTCTTCATCTTTGTTCTAGTTAATTGGTTATTCTAATGTTATGATTGCGTTTAGCGCTAATTTACAGGATACCCTTTGTGGGATTGTTTTGGTTTGAATTTAAAAATTTGATAACCTACCTACTTGAGCACCTAACTACTTAAACTAGGTTGCCAAATCACGAATGATCTGGTGGTTTGATCGCAGACAGGCGACTCTGAACCTTTCCAGCGTGGAAGTCTTTCGCTCCTCGAGTGTTTGAAGGCCGGCCAGGTGGTGAATCTCAGAATTACGAGTTCGCGGTGGACTGTTAAGGATAATTCTGAGGATCTTGTTTTGGATCCTCTGAAGCTTTAAGTGGTGGCACTTAGCACAACTCTCCCAGATTGGCATACCATACTCAATAGCCGGAAGAATGATTTGCTTGTGGACAGCAAGCTTGTTTTTTAGGGACAGGGTGGACTTCCTGTTTATCAGAGGGTAGAGCGACCTGATCAAGATGTTACACTTGGTGGATGTCTTGTCCACATGGGATCGGAATAGCAATTTGTTATCGAGCGTGAGACCAAGGTAGACTACTTCACTCGACCATTCAATGGGAGTGCTATCAAGATGGATCTTGACGTTAGCAGGCGGAACAAGCCGAGGTGAATACGAGTGTGGAAACAGAATGGTTTGTGTTTTAGCTGCATTGATACAAATCTTCCAGCTCTTAAAATAGTCGGACAAAACATCCAGGCCTGATTGTAGTTTACTCGCCAGAGCACGGATCACTCGACCCTTATAGATGATGGAGGTGTCATCTGCGAACATAGACAGGATACCACCACCCGGCAGGGGAGGAACGTCTGACGTGAAAATGTTGAATAGGATAGGCCCAAGCAGGCTACCTTGAGGGACCCCTGCATCAACGTTGAACGTATCAGAGGGGACATTGTTCAAGTAGACCTGGAATGATCTGCCCGACAAGTAGTGTTTGATGATCTTCACGAGGTAGATCGGAAAGTTGTATCGATGCAGCTTGTACACTAGACCATCATGCCAGACATTGTTGAACGCCTTCTCGACGTCCAACAATGCCATTGCAGATGTATTGGAAACGGACTTGTTCCGCTTGATGATGTTAGTAACCCGTGCGAGTTGGTGGATGGTAGAGTGGCCTTTCCTAAACCCAAATTGCTCTTTGAGAAAGATGTTATTATCATTTGAAAACACCAGCAGACGGCTGAGTATCAATTTTTCGAATAGCTTCGAGATGGAGAACAAGAGGCTGATGGGGCGATAGCTTTTGGCACTGGTAGGATCTTTGCCAGGCTTGTGTATTGGAATCACTTTGGCTAACTTCCAGCATGCGGGGAAGTAGCCAAGCTCCAAACATTTGTTGAATATAACGGTAAGATGGTTGAAGAAGTCAATACTCAAGTTTTTCAATTCGAGGTTGACTACACCATCCATACCCGCAGCCTTCATGTTTTTAGTACTTCTAATAGTTGCTATCACCTCATCAGCCGATATTCTACTATGATCATGCACTACTACGGGGGTGTCAGCGACTCTAGTCATTGCCTCCAGTACGGCAGGACTATGGGGGCTCACCATGGTTTGACCAAGATTATGTGAAATCACAAAATGTTGGCCAAGAGCATTGGCCTTTTCAACTGGGGTTATCAGTAGGGATGGGTCTAAGTGGTCAACAGAGGAAAGCGGAGGG